AACCACGTTTTTGGGCCATGGAGTGGCCAGGAAGCCGTGGATCCGAGTTTTTGTGGTGCAGGCAGTGCCCCTGGACATGATGTGTGATTTGACAGTGAGTTTGGGTTGGCCCAATGCAAAAAGTGTGAGGATCCATGAGGATCCGTGCTTCGGAACCACGTTTTTGGGCCATGGAGTGGCCAGGAAGCCGTGGATCCGAGTTTTTTGTGGTGTAAGCTGTGCCCCTGGACATGATGTGTGATTTGACGGTGAGTTTGGGTTGGCCCAATGCAAAAAGCGTGAGGATCCATGAGGATCCGTGCTTCAAAACCATTTTTGGGCCTGGAGTGGCCAGGAAGCCGTGGATCCGAGTTTTTTGTGGTGTAGCTGTGCCCCTGGGAATGATGTGTGATTTGACGGTGAGTTTGGGTTGGCCCAATGCAAAAAGCGTGAGGATCCATGAGGATCCGTGCTTCAAAACCACGTTTTTGGGCCATGGAGTGGCCAGGAAGCCGTGGATCCGAGTTTTTTGTGGTGCAGGCTGTGCCCCTGGGAATGATGTGTGATTTGACAGTGAGTTTGGGTTGGCCCAATGCAAAAAGCGTGAGGATCCATGAGGATCCGTGCTTCAAAACCACGTTTTTGGGCCATGGAGTGGCCAGGAAGCCGTGGATCCGAGTTTTTTGTGGTGCAGGCTGTGCCCCTGGACATGATGTGTGATTTGACGGAGTTTGGGTTGGCCCAATGCAAAAAGCGTGAGGATCCATGAGGATCCGTGCTTCAAAACCACGTTTTTGGGCCATGGAGTGGCCAGGAAGCCGTGGATCCGAGTTTTTTGTGGTGCAGGCTGTGCCCTGGACATGATGTGTGATTTGACGGTGAGTTTGGGTTGGCCCAATGCAAAAAGCGTGAGGATCCATGAGGATCCGTGCTTCAAAACCACGTTTTTGGGCCATGGAGTGGCCAGGAAGCCGTGGATCCGAGTTTTTTGTGGTGCAGGCTGTGCCCCTGGACATGATGTGTGATTTGACGGTGAGTTTGGGTGGCCCAATGCAAAAAGCGTGAGGATCCATGAGGATCCGTGCTTCAAAACCACGTTTTTGGGCCATGGTGGCCAGGAAGCCGTGGATCCGAGTTTTTTGTGGTGCAGGCTGTGCCCTGGACATGATGTGTGATTTGACGTGAGTTTGGGTGGCCCAATGCAAAAAGAGTGAGGATCCATGAGGGATCCGTGCCTTAAAAACTACCCTTTTGGGCCATGGCCAGTGGCCAGGAAGCCGTGGATATCCGCTTATTTTTGTGGTGCAGGCCTGTGCCCCTGGACATGATGTGATTGATTGACGGGGAGTTTGGGGGTGGCCCAACGCAAAAAGCGTGAGGATCCATGAGGATCCGTGCTTCGGAAAACCACGTTTTTGGGCCATGGAATCGGCCAGGAAGCCGTTGGATCCGAGTTTTTTTGTGGTGCAGGGCTGTGCCCCTGGGATGAATGTGTGATTTGACGGTGAGTTTGGGCTGATCTAGTGCATAAAGCGTGAGGATCCATGAGGATCGTGCTTCGGAACCACGTTTTTGGGCCTTGGAGTGGCCAGGAAGCCGTGGAATCCGAGTTTTTCTGTGGTGCAGGCTGTGCCTCTGGACATGATGTGTGATTTGACGGTGAGTTTGGGGTGGCCCGATGCAAAAAAGCGTGAGGATCCATGAGGATCCGTGCTTCAAAACCACGTTTTTGGGCCACGGTATGGTCAGGAAGACGTGGATCCGAGTTTTTTGTGGTGCAGGCTGTGCCACTGGACATGATGTGTGATTTGACAGTGAGTTTGGGTTGGCCCAATGCAAAAAGAGTGAGGATCCATGAGGATCCGTGCTTTAAAACTACCTTTTTGGGCCATGGAGTGGCCAGGAAGCCGTGGATCCGAGTTTTTTGTGGTGCAGGCTGTGCCCCTGGGAATGATGTGTGATTTGATGGTGAGTTTGGGGTGGCCCAATGCAAAAAGCGTGAGGATCCATGAGGATCCGTGCTTCAAAACCACGTTTTTGGGCCATGGAGTGGCCAGGAAGCCGTGGATCCGCGTTTTTTGTGGTGCAGGCTGTGCCCCTGGACATGATGTGTGATTTGACGGTGAGTTTGGGGTGGCCCAACGCAAAAAGCGTGAGGATCCATGAGGATCCGTGCTTCGGAACCACGTTTTTGGGCCATGGAGTGGCCAGGAAGCCGTGGATCCGAGTTTTTTGTGGTGCAGGCTGTGCCCCTGGGAATGATGTGTGATTTGACGGTGAGTTTGGGCTGATCTAGTGCATAAAGCGTGAGGATCCATGAGGATCCGTGCTTCGGAACCACGTTTTTGGGCCTTGGAGTGGCCAGGAAGCCGTGGATCCGAGTTTTCTGTGGTGCAGGCTGTGCCTCTGGACATGATGTGTGATTTGACGGTGAGTTTGGGGTGGCCCGATGCAAAAAGCGTGAGGATCCATGAGGATCCGTGCTTCAAAACCACGTTTTTGGGCCACGGTATGGTCAGGAAGACGTGGATCCGAGTTTTTTGTGGTGCAGGCTGTGCCACTGGACATGATGTGTGATTTGACAGTGAGTTTGGGTTGGCCCAATGCAAAAAGAGTGAGGATCCATGAGGATCCGTGCTTTAAAACTACCTTTTTGGGCCATGGAGTGGCCAGGAAGCCGTGGATCCGAGTTTTTTGTGGTGCAGGCTGTGCCCCTGGGAATGATGTGTGATTTGATGGTGAGTTTGGGGTGGCCCAATGCAAAAAGCGTGAGGATCCATGAGGATCCGTGCTTCAAAACCACGTTTTTGGGCCATGGAGTGGCCAGGAAGCCGTGGATCCGAGTTTTTTGTGGTGCAGGCTGTGCCCCTGGACATGATGTGTGATTTGACGGTGAGTTTGGGGTGGCCCAATGCAAAAAGCGTGAGGATCCATGAGGATCCGTGCTTCGGAACCACGTTTTTGGGCCATGGAGTGGCCAGGAAGCTGTGGATCCGAGTTTTTTGTGGTGCAGGCTGTGCCCCTGGGAATGATGTGTGATTTGACGGTGAGTTTGGGCTGATCTAGTGCATAAAGTGTGAGGATCCATGAGGATCCGTGCTTCGGAACCACGTTTTTGGGCCTTGGAGTGGCCAGGAAGCCGTGGATCCGAGTTTTCTGTGGTGCAGGCTGTGCCTCTGGACATGATGTGTGATTTGACGGTGAGTTTGGGGTGGCCCGATGCAAAAAGCGTGAGGATCCATGAGGATCCGTGCTTCAAAACCACGTTTTTGGGCCACGGTATGGTCAGGAAGACGTGGATCCGTGATTTTTGTGGTGCAGGCTGTGCCCCTGGACATGATGTGTGATTTGACGGTGAGTTTCGGGTGGCCCAATGCAAAAAGCGTGAGGATCCATGAGGATCTGTGGTTCGGAACCAAGTTTTTGGGCCACGGTTTCGCCAGGAAGTCGTGGATCTGTGATTTTTGTGGTGGATGCTGTGCCCATGGCCATGATGTTTGATCTGATGGTGACTTTGGGCTGATCTAGTGCAAAAATCATGAGGATTCATGAGGATCCGTGCTTCGGAACCACGTTTTTGGGCCAGGGAGTGGCCAGGCAGGTGTGGATCCGAGTTTTTTGTGGTGTAGGCTGTGCCCCTTACTATGATATGTGATTTGACGGTGAGTTTGGGTTGGCCCGATAAAGAAAGCGTGTGGATCCATGAAGATCCGTTCTTGAAAACCACGTTTTTGGTCCACGGTTTCGCCAGGAAGCCATGGATCCGTGATTTTTGTGGTGGATGCTGTGCCCATGGCCATGATGTTTGATCTGATGGTGACTTTGGGTTGATCTAGTGCAAAAATCATGAGGATTCATGAGGATCCGTGCTTCGGAACCACGTTTTTGGGCCAGGGCGTGGCCAGGCAGGCGTGGATCTGAGTTTTTTGTGGTGTAGGCTGTGCCCCTGGCTATGATGTGTGATTTGAGGGTGAGTTTGGGTTGGTCCAATGCAAAAAGTGTGAGGATCCATGAGGATCTGTTCTTGAAAACCACGTTTTTGGGCCATGGTATGGCCAGGAAGCCATGGATCCGTGATTTCTCTGGTGGATGTTGTGCCCCTGGACATGATGTGTAATTTGAAAGTGAGTTTGGGCTGATCTAGTGCAAAAATCATGAGGATTCATGAGGATCCGTGTTTTTTAACCATGTTTTTGCGCCATTGCGGCACCACGAAACAGTGGATGCGTGATTTTTTTGGTTCCTCCTACAGACTAAGATGTGGTCTACAGTAGCATGGTGTTTTTATTTTGTTTCAATATAAAAATCATATGAATTCATGAGGATCCGTGCCTCGGATCCATGTTTTTATGGTGCTGCAGCGCGGCAAAGTGTTGGATCCACGTTTTTTATAGTCCAGTTTGTAGGCGTGCCTTCCAGGTGTGATTTGACACTGCATTTGTTGGAATAATTTTTTAAAAAGTGGAGGATCCATGAGGATCCGTGTAGATCCGCCTTTTATGCAGACCCTGTAAATCCAACTGGACTTCCTCACATCTTCCGAACCCAGCGTTCTTTGCAATAAAGACATCAGCAATTTGTTACCTTATTTCATACCTTACTGTATCTTTCAAATATTATGTTTCTAAATTCAAAATGTTATTTCTCCATTACTTGTATCTTAAAATAAACATAATAAAATTATTTCAAATTTCCACCTTATCTTTCTTGTGACTTAATTTCCAATTCACTAAATCAGTTTGCTGAAGCTATAATTTCCAAGTCATGCACATTTTTAGCATTCATACATCGTGTAATGTTTTTAACTCCTCCAGTATGTCAGTTGTGGGTGATGTTAATGCGTTAGAGAACACGAGGCGGCTGTTTTGCATGGGGTTGAAAAGCAGCCAACACAAACCCAGAAGTGGGTGTTTTCGTATGAAGGATGACGGCTGAATCATCGGGAGCTTTTCTGAAGAACAGCTGGGAAAGCAGCAAAACCAACCAAGT